CTGGGCGTCTTCCCGCTTACCCATTCCTCGTGGGGGTGGGGGTGGAAGCCAGGAGCAGGGACATCACCCCCAGTCCTCGTGGGGGGGGGAGCCGGGAGCAGGGACATCACCCCCAGTCCTCATGGGGGGGGAGCCAGGAGCAGGGACATCACCCCCAGTCCTTGTGGGGGGGAGCCAGGAGCAGGGACATCACCCCCAGTCCTCGTGGGGGGGAGGAGGGGACATCACCCCCAGTCCTCATGGGGGGAGCCAGGAGCAGGGACATCACCCCCAGTCCTCGTGGGGGGGGAGCCAGGAGCAGGGACATCACCCCCAGTCCTCGTGTGGGGGAGGAGGGGACATCACCCCCAGTCCTCATGGGGGGAGCCAGGAGCAGGGACATCACCCCCAGTCCTCGTGGGGGGGGAGCCAGGAGCAGGGACATCACCCCCAGTCCTCGTGGGGGGGGAGCAGGGACATCACCCCCAGTCCTCATGGGGGTAGCCAGGAGCAGGGACATCACCCCCAGTCCTCAAGGGGGGAGCCAGGAGCAGGGGACATCACCCCCAGTCCTCATGGGGGGAGCCAGGAGCAGGGGACATCACCCCCAGTCCTCGGGGGGGGGAGCCAGGAGCAGGGGACATCACCCCCAGTCCTCATGGGGGGAGCAGGGACATCACCCCCAGTCCTCATGGGGGGAGCAGGGACATCACCCCCAGTCCTCATGGGGGGGGAGCCAGGAGCAGGGACATCACCCCCAGTCCTCGTGGGGGGGGGAGTAGCAGGGGACATCACCCCCAGTCCTCATGGTGGGGGAGCAGGGACATCACCCCCAGTCCTCATGGGGGGAGCAGGGACATCACCCCCAGTCCTCATGGGGGGGGAGCCAGGAGCAGGGACATCACCCCCAGTCCTCGTGGGGGGGGGAGTAGCAGGGGACATCACCCCCAGTCCTCGTGGGGGGGAGGAGGGGACATCACCCCCAGTCCTCAAGGGGGGAGCCAGGAGCAGGGACATCACCCCAGTCCTCATGGGGGGGAGTAGCAGGGGACATCACCCCCAGTCCTCATGGGGGGGAGCAGGGACATCACCCCCAGTCCTCATGGGGGTAGCCAGGAGCAGGGACATCACCCCCAGTCCTCAAGGGGGGAGCCAGGAGCAGGGGACATCACCCCCAGTCCTCGTGGGGGGGAGCCAGAAGCAGGGACATCACCCCCAGACTCTCAGAAGACGGGGCCATGCCCCGCCCCCACCCCGTGCCCAGCGTCCACGGCCAGGCCACATCGTTGCTTGGCGCTCACACCCCTGCAATTCATCCCGCGTGCGTCAGGGGCTGCCCATGCGGCCCTCGTCCGGAGCCACACGTCAAGCCCGGAGGCTTCTGGGAGGCGGGGTCACAGCTGGGATTCCGGGACCCCAGGCCCTTCCGTCCTTCACCCCCTCAGACCCAGCCGCACGGGCACCCAGCTCCCTCCTCCCCGCAGATTCGGGAGTCGAACTCCCTCAGCCGCCTCCGCCCGCGGCTCAGCGGTCGGAGATCCCAGCCCGCACCTCCCCCGGTCGCGGGCGTCCAGCCTCCTGGGGCCCTCCTCCCTCAGACCCGGGAGGCCGAGCCTCCACCTCCTCCTCCCTCAGACTCGACAGCGCTGTTTCGCTGCTCAGTCCTTCCCGCGCCAACACTCACCACGGTTGCCATGATGCTCACCAACCGCTAATATCCTGGCGGAAACGGAAGGTGCACTCGGAGCGACGCGTGCCGGCCGCTCTAGGCTGGCGGGTCCTCCAAGGGTCTCTATGGCTCCCTGCTCTATAGTAAACTCTCCCTCTGGGGGCGTGGCGTCACAGGTTAGGCCCCGCCCACCCGCTGAGGCCTAGCTTAACACGGGCGCCCAGAACTCCTGAGTCCGTTCCCAAGGCTTCCTGGCTCCTCCCTCTTTTACCCAGCCCCCGCCCCTCGCTGAGGCCGATTGCAAAATCCTCAGCACTTCTTGTAGCAACCACACGTCCTCCACGCTCCCTTTCCTCCCTCTTCGACCCTCCTCTTTCTTCCCATCTTGGGGCCTCCAGCTGCGGATTGACAGCGCCGAACGGCTAATCGCTGCCGTTCAGGACGGCTACAAGCCCCACCCACAATAGGGGCGTGACCCCGTCTGTGTCCCAGGCTGCGGCGGGACTAAGCGAACTCGACGCTCTCCGCCAATGAGGAGACTCGAGGGCCACGCCCCCTGGCGCGAACCAATGGCGCTTGCCGGGGGCCGGGCACCGCCTCCTGGCGGCCGCAAAGTTTCACTGCAGGGGCACCCCTGGCCTCAGTGACGCTGCGGCCGCCTCCAGCCTCGGTCCGAGCGCTCCGGGCGGGGGGTGCGGTCCTGCAATAGGAAGCCAAGCTCGTTGCAAACTTCCCGTCGGCCTCCAGACACCCAGCCCGGGCGCCCTGCCCGTTGCATTCCCCGGGACACCTCCGGGGTCCCCACCTGCGGCCCCGGAGCCCCCCGCCCGCGTCAGCCATGCCTCTAAGCCGCACCTTGTCCGTGTCCTCGCTGCCGGGACTGGAGGATTGGGAGGATGAGTTCGACTTGGAGAACTCGGTACTCTTCGAAGTGGCCTGGGAGGTGGCCAACAAGGGTGAGCCTGCGGGCGTCGGGGCCTGTGACTGAAAGGGTAGCCGGGTAAGGGGGCCCAGGACGCTGAGTCGCAGGGAGAAAGAGGACCACATAGGGGTCGGGGCTCCACGGGGGTCTCTTGAGTCCCGGGCAAGGCGCCAGTGACTCCTGTGCCCTTGGGCAGAGCCTGGGGTATGGCTCCTGGGCCCTGGGGGGAGGGGATGAGTGAATTGCCTTAAAATAAAAGGAGGCTGGAAACTCAGGTCCGGGGTCCTAGGGAGAGTGGGCGTTAAAATAGCGCAAGAGATTCCTAATCCAGGGGGGGCTCCTGGGGAATGGGCCCTGAACAGGGCAAAGTGCTGCCTGGGGCTTCAGACCTGTGACCACCCCCCAGGGGGGAAGTGGCTGAGGATGGAAGTCTGGGTCTGGGCGAGAGCCGGAGGGGGTGTGTGGGTCCTGGTGGGGGGGCTCTGGCGACCTGGCTGCTGGGGGGTAAAGATGGGAGGGGGCTGGAGCCCCTCATTATATAGGGGCCAGGGTGGGAGGGACTTAGGGCCGAATGCCTGGACTTCGGAGGAGTGGAAGGCCTGAGCTACTGGACGAGGAGCTGGTGGCCTGGAACCGGCCAAGGCTGGGAAGTCCTGAGTTGCTCAGGGGCTGGGAGTGGCTCCGGGGCCTCCAAGGGTCTGGATCTGGAGAAGCTGGGGCTGGAGCCCCTAGGAGCCAGGTGGTCCTGCTCCCCCGCAGACCAGCGGCCCGGGGTTTGCCTGCGGGGTGTGGGGGGAGGATGGGGCTGGCTTGCAGAGACACAGCCACGTGTTGTCAGGGTTCCGGCTGCAGGCAGGGAGGAGGCTGGGGGCCCAGACTCCCCAGTCTGCGGTGGGGTCGTGGGCAGGACCTCTGCCCCCGGTCGGGAAGGGAGACCGGCAGCCAGGTCAGCAGGGTCCCTAGGGGCGGGAAGGATGATTCAGGCTCTCTTGTGCAATGCGGGATGCTGGCTGGCGCCGTACAGGCAGATGCTCCCTTATCGCGTCCTGGGGTTAGCTGGGGACTCACCCCAGCTCCTGCAGGCTGCAGACCGGGGGACCCCTGTCCCTCAGCTTCCGCCACCCTTGGGGCGGAATTCCTTCAGACCCAGGAGCCCACGCCCCGAGCCCCATCTGTCTCCGACCTAGGAGTCCAGCCTGAGCCCCCTTCCCCTGTGGACCCAGAAGGAGGTCCTCCAGCCCCCCTTCCCTCCCCCACTCAAACCTCCAAGCCCCACCCCCTCTCCTCTCTGACTCGGAAGTATGGGCTCCCAGTGGTCGGGGACCCCAGGAGTCGCAACATCGGGCCCCAGCTGGGCTCTGCCCTCACACGCTTGGGCCCACAGTGGGCGGCATCTACACGGTGCTGCAGACCAAGGCCAAGGTGACGGGAGACGAATGGGGCGACAACTACTTCCTGGTGGGACCCTACACCGAGCAAGGCGTGAGGACCCAGGTGGAGCTGCTGGAGCCCCCGACCCCTGCCCTGAAGAGGACCCTGGACTCCATGAACAGCAAGGGTTGCAAGGTGGGACATGGCCGTGCAGAGGCGGGGAGACAGGTGGCGCCGCCCTCACCCTGCAGGTGTAGCTGCAGAAGGGCAGGGGGTGTGGACGGCCCGGGGAGGCACAGACAGGTGTGGGGAAGGCAGACACAGAGGAGGAGCGGGCGATAGGCAGAGGTAGGGCCCCATGACACAGGCCAGGAGATTGGCCGACAGACAGCCAGCAGCTACAACATATATCCAAGAGGCCAGGGTCCTCAGAGCCCAGAGAAAGAACTGGACAGAAAGGCAGCCGGACAGAGCCGGAAGGAGGGTGGTTTGGGGTCAGGTGGGTGTGCAGGAGCAGGAAATGGGGGTGGGGAGGTGGGGGGCTGAAGTTCAAGTGCTGCCTGCGTGACCGGGGCCAGTGAACGTGGCTGCCGGTAGCATCTGCCCCGGAGGGGCGCTGGGAGGATGAGGAGTTAATGATCATAAAGGAAATGAGGCCGTGTGTAAACCATGGAGGTTATCAGCATTCATCCTGATTACTCTGAAGGCCCAGCTAGGAGAGCCCGGTGGGCAGGCAGGCAGGCAAGTGGAGACAAACCCAGGGACCGGGCTCCGGGGAGAGAAGCAGCCTGTAGGTGCAGAAGACAGGCTGCGGACGTTCCAGAGAAAGACCGAGAAGGAGAGAGGAAGATGGAGTATTGATTAATAAGAGAGGAGCGCTGGGCAGACAGACCCAGGGGGTGGAGTCTTGGACGGGGGATCTAGGGATCAAAAAGAGGTATGGAGAGTCCCGGGGCCCCAGGCTGAGCACGGCCTTAGTCAGCGGGGGGAAGGGCTGAGGGTTTGGGGGGCTGGGGGCAGGGGTGCGGCAGGCCCCTCGGCTCCTTCCAATCAGCCTCTGATCTGGGGTGGGGTCCAGAGTCCAGTGAAACCCAGACTGTCCCGAAGGCACCCCAGGGCGGCCGGGTCCCTCCCCCAGGGCAGCTGTTCCTAAGAATAGCCCCCCCTAGCAAAAGGGCACACAACAGCTGGGAGGGGGAGGAGCAGGAGAGCCGAGCTCAGCTCGGGAGCAGCCAGGTTGCGGGGGAGGATGGCTGCTTGTCCACAGGACAGAGCCGTGGTGGCAGGGCCAGCACCGGGGCCAGGGGCTCGGGGGGAGCGCGACAGGTAGGAAAACGCAGGCTTGGGAGCGTGGACAGACGACGCTGCCGCAGGAGAGGGTGTTTAGCATGGCGGTAAAGACGCCGTGAGGATGTCCGTGTCCGATACAGGGAGTTCCTGGGTTCAATGCCAGGCTCCGGCCTCCTGCTACTGCGGACCCTGGGAGGCAGCAGCCAGAGCTCAGGTGACTGGTTCCTGCCACCCACGTGGGAAGCCCGATTGGATCCCAGTGCTTGCCTTTGGCTTGTCCCAGCACGCCAGCTGTGGCTAGCATTTGGGGAATGAACCAGCGGATGAGAGCTCTCTCTGTCTCTCACATAAATAATTTTCTTTTAAAAACCGTGGTTGCAGATTGAAAACAATGGGCAACAAAGTGACAAATATTCTGGTGGAAGAAGTGTGGGGGGTGGTGGTGGCAGAAGTTACAAAGGGAATTAGCAACAGAAAGAAAAATAACTGGAGAAAGCACTAGCATGGTTGGCAAGAGAAATGAGACAGCAAGTGGAGAAATGAGGCGGCGGGCGGGAGAAATGATTGGCAGGGCGGGAGGTGATTGGCAGGGCAGGAGAAGTGATTGGCAGGGCGGCAAAACAAGTGGTTCTGAGAGCAGCCAGGAGACGGTGATAGAAACCAAGCCAAGGCCAAGGAAGACATCGCAGCGAGGGTGGAAAAAGTGATGGGAGTAGCCGACGGCAGATAGAAATAAGGCGGCGGGTGGGAAATTGGCAGCGGATGTGGAAACAAGGAGGCGGAAGGAAGCCCGCGAGAGCCCTGCGCCTCCCGTCACGCCCGTCCCCCCAGGTGTACTTCGGGCGCTGGCTGATCGAGGGGGGCCCTCTGGTGGTGCTGTTGGACGTGGGGGCCTCCGCCTGGGCCCTGGAGCGCTGGAAGGGAGAGCTCTGGGACACCTGCAACATCGGGGTGCCCTGGTACGACCGCGAGGCCAACGACGCTGTCCTCTTTGGCTTCCTCACCACCTGGTTCCTGGGTGAGGTAGGCCCCACTGTCTGCCCCCGTCACCGCGCTGCACCCCAGCCTGAAGCTGCAGTGCCCACCGGCGCCTGGCGCAGAGGCACCGGGAGGTCCTTTAATCCAAGGATTAGTTCTGATCCTGGGGATGTGGCGTCCAGGGGCCCAGCTTCCTCTTTGCTGAGATTCAACTCCCAACCTCAGCTTCATTAACTCCAGTCTTGCAGGTGCAGAGCTGCTAAGCTCTTGGGAATTGATGGCCTGCCTCGGGGAATTCTGGGAATTGTAGTTCTCTAGTCTGACCTTGGTCAGACTTAAGCGCACAGATTCAGCCTAGAGTACTTGCCGATCCCCAGCCTATCTGAGAACTAACAGTCTTGGTTCTGATCACCTTTTAGGTTTTTAAAGAGTTGAGAAACCTAACTTTCCATACCCTGGGACAAAGAATGTAGACATGGGCTGCTCCTAGAGCATGCTGGGAATTGTAGTCCTCTGGCCAGGGTTGTGTACAGACCTGTGCTGGTTAGGGTTCTCCAGGAACTGTGTGCTTCGTGACACACATGGACACACATCAGCCCTGTCCCTGTTGCCCCACAGTTCCTGGCCCAGAATGAGGAGAAGCCGCACGTGGTCGCACACTTCCACGAGTGGCTGGCGGGCATCGGGCTTTGCCTGTGCCGAGCCCGGCGGCTGCCCGTGGCGACCATCTTCACCACCCATGCCACACTGCTGGGGCGTTACCTGTGTGCCGGCGCTGTGGACTTCTACAACAACTTGGAGAACGTGAGCTGGGAGTGAGGCGGACGCTGGGGGTACCCAACTCCCCAGCCCCCTGTTTCCTCGGACCCAAAAGTCCAGCTGCCAGTCCCAACCTCCCCTCCTCCTCCTAGGACCTCCATTCTTCCGTCCAACCCCCATAACCAGCTTCCCTCCCTTCCCACCCAGTTTAACGTGGACAAGGAAGCCGGTGAGAGGCAGATATACCACCGCTACTGCATGGAGCGGGCAGCGGCCCACTGCGCCCACGTCTTCACTACCGTGTCACAGATCACCGCCATCGAGGCCCAGCACCTGCTCAAGAGGAAGCCAGGTAGGGGCTAGGCTGGGGTCTCCAGACACCAGCGAGGAAGGCCACCGTCTATGCCAAGGCCAAACTCTAAAGAACTACAACTCCCAGAAGCCCCGGCAGTTGGGATGTGCCCTGCACTAGAAAGGGTTGAGATGTGGTCATTGCTTCAAGTGGACAGTGGGCTCTGAAAGGGAGCGGAGAGTTAGTGGGCGTGGTTCTTTTGAGAAAAGCGCGAGCTGAGAGGTGGTGTAGTGGTGTTGGGGGCAGCCGTGTGGCTGGGTGTGGGGGTCCCAGTGGAGCTCCCAGGAGAGCGGCAGCGACCAGACACTGCCACGGGAAAGGGGCGTCTCCATCGATTATGCCTTGGACCGCGCTGATCCGAACGAACGGACGAGGGCGTGAACGGCGGGACCTTCTCCCTCACCCCAGACATTGTGACCCCCAACGGCCTGAATGTGAAGAAGTTCTCTGCCATGCACGAGTTCCAGAACCTCCATGCCCAGAGCAAGGCTCGGATCCAGGAGTTTGTGCGGGGTCACTTTTATGGGTACGTGAGCCAGATACACAGGACTTAGAGAAGGGAGTGGGTGTCTATGTGGACGTCTGGGTCTGAGCGGGAGGGGCGGCTGGGGGTCCTGGTGCCTGGGGACCTGGGTCTGAGGGCAGGGGCAGCTGGGAGCTTCTTCCTGAGGCCCTGAGCCCTGGAACAATGGGCTAAGTATCAGAGTGGCTCTGTCTCTACAGAGAGAACTACAACTCCCAGAAGGCCCTGGGCACCCCATGGCTTCTGGGATTTGTAGTTTTAAGGTCAGGGCTAGAGATTGAGAGTGTAGGGCTTCACCCTGCTTTGTGGCTTCCTTATAGACACCTAGACTTCAACTTGGACAAGACCTTGTACTTCTTTATCGCTGGCCGCTACGAGTTCTCCAACAAGGGGGCCGACGTCTTCCTGGAGGCCTTGGCTCGGCTCAACTACCTGCTCAGAGTGAGACCTGTGCCACATGGCGCAAGGGCGCGGGCGGGAGACAGTGTGTTAACTGGGGGAGAAGGGCCCCCCCTCCAAGAAGGGGCATGGCAAAGCCCCAGCGCCTTGGGGGTCGGCAGTGGTGGGCGGGGCCTGAGCCTCCCCCTGTGCGTTTCTCCCACCCAGGTGAACGGCAGCGAGCAGACGGTGGTCGCCTTCTTCATCATGCCGGCTCGGACCAACAATTTCAACGTGGAGACACTGAAGGGCCAGGCCGTGCGCAAACAGCTTTGGTCAGCAGCCCGCGGCCCGCGGCCCCTGCTGCCCCCACTCCTGCGCTTTGGGGCTGGCGGTTCCCCAGGAGACTCGGTTTGCCCATCTGTGACCTGATCCGTGTCCCCATCCATTCCCCCTCAAGTCACTTGCTCCAGCGAGCATTTTTACCATGTGCCGGGCACTGGCTGTGATGGACAAGAAAGATACAATCCTTGTCTTCGTGAAGCTCGTGTTCCAGAAAATTCTAAAGAGTGTGTTCTGGCAAAAACAAAACAGAACTGGAATAGGAGACAGGGTTGTCAGGAAGGATGGCACCGAGGAAGTACCACTGGGCAGAGAAAGGAAATGAGGGAGCAGACCATGTGGTCAGCTGAGGAATAAGATTTCAGGCCTGGGGAGGGGGGAGCAGCAGGTGCAAAGGCCCTGAGGCATGCTAGAGAAATAGCAAGGGAGCCAGGCTAGAAGTTGAGGCCAGGGCTGTGGGAGGACCGTGCAGGGGAGTGACATTCTTACTTGGGTGTCTGCATGTCCCCTACTCAGAATCTTATTTTCCTTTTGTATAAAATGGGTTTTTGCATCACCATGTCCAGGACCAGCACAAGTCCTAATAATAGCTGACATTTCTGGAAGGCTCGCCGTGTGCCAGGCACCGCGCACTTTTTGTTTTGACCTCATTGGCTCCTCATTGCCAGCTTCTGAGGTCGGATCTATTTTTAGCCCCATCGGATAGCTGAGACACGGGAGTCAGAGAGGAAAGGCCACCTGGCCTCGGCCACACAGCACAAAGGATCCCAGCCTTCTGGGTTCCATTCCCCACTTCCCACCCTGCAGCCCAGAGGACCCAGGCCTCAGTCTCCCCAGTAGCTCAAAGGCTAACAACAAAATGGCAGCCAGCGTGTGTGTGTGTGTGACGTCGCTCTGTGCCTTCCAGGGTGTGTGTGTGTGTGTGTGTGACGTCGCTCTGTGCCTTCCAGGGTGTGTGTGTGTGTGTGTGTGTGTGTGACGTCGCTCTGTGCCTTCCAGGGTGTGTGTGTGTGTGTGTGTGTGTGACGTCGCTCTGTGCCTTCCAGGGTGTGTGTGTGTGTGTGTGTGACGTCGCTCTGTGCCTTCCAGGGTGTGTGTGTGTGTGTGTGTGTGTGACATCGCTCTGTGCCTTCCAGTGTGTGTGTGTGTGTGTGTATGTGATGTCACTCTGTGCCTTCCAGGGTGTGTGTGTGTGTGTGACGTTGCTCTGTGCCTTCCAGGGTGTGTGTGTGTGTGTGTGTGACGTCGCTCTGTGCCTTCCAGGGTGTGTGTGTGTGTGTGTGACGTCGCTCTGTGCCTTCCAGTGTGTGTGTGTGTGTGTGTATGTGACGTCACTCTGTGCCTTCCAGGGTGTGTGTGTGTGTGTGTGACGTCGCTCTGTGCCTTCCAGGGTGTGTGTGTGTGTGTGTGTGACGTCGCTCTGTGCCTTCCAGGGTGTGTGTGTGTGTGTGTGTGTGACGTCGCTCTGTGCCTTCCAGTGTGTGTGTGTGTGTGTGTATGTGACGTCGCTCTGTGCCTTCCAGGGTGTGTGTGTGTGTGTGTGTGTGTGTGTGACGTCACTCTGTGCCTTCCAGGGTGTGTGTGTGTGTGTGTGTGTGTGACGTCGCTCTGTGCCTTCCAGGGTGTGTGTGTGTGAGTGTGTGTGTGTGACGTCGCTCTGTGCCTTCCAGGGTGTGTGTGTGTGTGTGTGTGACGTCGCTCTGTGCCTTCCAGGGTGTGTGTGTGTGTGTGTGTGACGTCGCTCTGTGCCTTCCAGGGTGTGTGTGTGTGTGTGTATGTGATGTCACTCTGTGCCTTCCAGGGTGTGTGTGTGTGTGTGACGTCGCTCTGTGCCTTCCAGGGTGTGTGTGTGTGTGTGTGTGAGAGACGTCGCTCTGTGCCTTCCAGGGTGTGTGTGTGTGTGTGTGTGTGTGTGACGTCGCTCTGTGCCTTCCAGGGTGTGTGTGTGTGTGAGAGACGTCGCTCTGTGCCTTCCAGGGTGTGTGTGTGTGTGTGTGTGACGTCACTCTGTGCCTTCCAGGGTGTGTGTGTGTTTGTGTGAGACGTCGCTCTGTGCCTTCCAGGGTGTGTGTGTGTGTGTGTGTGTGTGACGTCACTCTGTGCCTTCCAGGGTGTGTGTGTGTGTGTGTGTGTGTGACGTCACTCTGTGCCTTCCAGGGTGTGTGTGTGTGTGTGTGTGACATCGCTCTGTGCCTTCCAGCGTGTGTGTGTGTGTGTGAGTGTGTGTGTGTGTGACGTCGCTCTGTGCCTTCCAGGGTGTGTGTGTGTGTGTGTGTGTGTGATGTCGCTCTGTGCCTTCCAGGGTGTGTGTGTGTGAGTGTGTGTGTGTGTGACGTCGCTCTGTGCCTTCCAGGGCGTGTGTGTGTGTGTGACGTCGCTCTGTGCCTTCCAGGGCGTGTGTGTGTGTGTGACGTCGCTCTGTGCCTTCCAGGGTGTGTGTGTGTGTGTGTGTGTGTGTGTGTGACGTCGCTCTGTGCCTTCCAGGGTGTGTGTGTGTGTGTGTGTGTGTGTGTGTGTGACGTCGCTCTGTGCCTTCCAGGGTGTGTGTGTGTGTGTGTGTGTGTGTGTGACGTCGCTCTGTGCCTTCCAGGGTGTGTGTGTGTGTGTGTGTGTGTGTGACGTCGCTCTGTGCCTTCCAGGGTGTGTGTGTGTGTGTGTGTGTGTGTGTGACGTCGCTCTGTGCCTTCCAGGGTGTGTGTGTGTGTGTGTGTGTGTGACGTCGCTCTGTGCCTTCCAGGGTGTGTGTGTGTGTGTGTGTGTGTGTGTGTGACGTCGCTCTGTGCCTTCCAGGGTGTGTGTGTGTGTGTGTGTGACGTCGCTCTGTGCCTTCCAGCGTGTGTGTGTGTGTGTGAGTGTGTGTGTGTGTGACGTCGTTCTGTGCCTTCCAGGGCGTGTGTGTGTGTGTGACGTCGCTCTGTGCCTTCCAGGGTGTGTGTGTGTGTGTGTGTGTGTGTGTGTGTGTGTGACGTCGCTCTGTGCCTTCCAGGGCGTGTGTGTGTGTGTGACGTCGCTCTGTGCCTTCCAGGGACACAGCCAACACGGTGAAGGAGAAGTTCGGGAGGAAGCTGTATGAATCCTTGCTGGTGTGAGTGCCCGGCCCGAGCCCTCTTCCCTCTTGGGCCCCAGCCCCTCTCGTCACCATGCCCAGATGCACGCCCCTGCTCCCTTGCAGGGGGAGCCTCCCGGACATGAACAAGATGCTGGACAAGGAAGACTTCACCATGATGAAGAGGGCCATCTTTGCCACGCAGGTAGGGCCCGGGAGAGGGCGTTCCCAGCAACCCTAGGGGCAGCTGGCCACGTTCCCGCCGACCCCAGAGGCTGCTGGGAGTTCTGCTGTCTTGGGTGGCCGCCCTTGAGGGGTCGATTCCGAGGTCCATGGAAGGCTGGAATTTAAAACAGAAGCACTCGGGCCGGCTGTTTTCTGTGGCGCATTCTGCCGCGGGGGCTGCCGGGAGTGGTGGTTTCTTCGGGTCCCTGGGGTCAGTGGACACAGGGCAACAAGGGAAAACAAGACAGTCAAGACACCACAAGAGGAGAATCACAACTTCCTGTCCTGGGGGTGGGGGGGCCTCTGGCCCCGCCTCTGCGCCCGGAGGCTGCTGGGAGTGGTAGTTTTGTCGCGGCTCTGGGGGTGGAGCCAGGCGGTCAGCTACAGCATCTTGTGTTCCCTGGAGAGGACTGAGAATGCTGGGCAGCCACTGCTTCTCATCCCACTGGCTGTATCTGATTCCCCACGCACCCCTGGGAGCTGTGGCCTCTTGGCATTAGGTGAGTGGGAACTTCAGGATCGGTGCTTATTAAGAGGACGACTACAACTCCCAGCAGGCCCCGGGACGCTCCATTACAATGACGCCTCCCTTGCCCCAGGGGCTTCTGGGAGTTAAAGAGGCCTTCAATTCCCTGGTATCCAGGGACTTCGGGGGTGCGTGCTGTCAGGGCCGGGGACCCTGGCGAGTGGGACCCTGGACAGCCACACCGCACTACAAGATGGAAGCCGCTCTAGCCGGTCCGTAAGCAGCCGCCTCACTGGCAGTGCTGCCGTCACCGGCCCCTGGACCTGCAGACTGAGGGTGAACAGTGTTCGCGAAGCGAGCTGACGAGCTGTTGTAAAAGGCCACGCCCTCTGGCCTCTTCTGGTTCCAGTGACTCCTGGGAATTAATTTCCTTGGGCCTCTGTTGGAGGGGGGTGGATTTTCATAGAAACCTACAGCTCCCACAAGGCCCTAGAGTGTGGCACCATTTGGGCACAGTCTGTGGCTCCATTGACTGGGGGAGTAGCAGGTACCTAATTCCCCATAGTCTACGGGGGGCAGCTTAGCCCCGGCTCTGCCTCACGGGCAGCTGGGAATTGTAGTTCTTCTAGGCTCGTGTTGGGTAGCGGCAGGAGCTGGTTAGATGGCCACTCCGGGAGTCTTCAGCTCTGGGACTCCCTCAGCTTTGCTGTTCTGGCGGGAGTGGTGGTCTCCTTGACTTGCCCGGCCCTCCCGTGACCCCCGCCCCACTCGTGGCCCCCACAGCGGCAGTCTTTCCCCCCCGTGTGCACCCACAACATGCTGGACGACTCCTCGGACCCCATCCTCACCACCATCCGCCGAATCGGCCTCTTCAACAGCAGTGCCGACAGGGTGAAGGTGAGAGCGCTGGCCAGGGGGACGCTGGGGAGGGGAGGGGAGGGGAGGGGAGGGGAGCCCCGGCCTCACCCGCCCCATCCCGCCTGGCCCATCAAGGACGTTCATTGCTTTGTTCAGGAAGAACCCCGGCTCCTGAGGCAAATACACTTGCTGTGTGTCCTTAGACAAGTGTGTCACCCTCTCTGGGCCACTCTGGGTTCTCAAGAAATAGCCACGGCCGGCGCCGCGGCTCACTAGGCTAATCCTCCGCCTAGCGGCGCCGGCACACCGGGTTCTAGTCCCGGTCGGGGCTCCGGATTCTGTCCCGGTTGCCCCTCTTCCAGGCCAGCCCTCTGCTGTGGCCAGGGAGTGCAGTGGAGGATGGCCCAGGTGCTTGGGCCCTGCACCCCATGGGAGACCAGGAGGAGGCACCTGGCTCCTGGCTCCTGCCATCGGATCAGCGCGGTGCGCCGGCCGCAGCGCGCCGGCCGCGGCGGCCATTGGAGGGTGAACCAACGGCAAAGGAAGACCTTTCTCTCTCTCTCTCTCTCTCTCTCACTGTCCACTCTGCCTGTCAAAAAAGAAAAAAAAAAAAAAAAGAAACTGCCACGTGAGGTGCTTGGGCTAAGCCGTTCCTTTCCACGGCCAGGTGATTTTCCACCCAGAGTTCCTGTCCTCCACAAGCCCCCTGCTCCCTGTGGACTACGAGGAGTTCGTCCGTGGCTGCCACCTGGGGGTCTTCCCCTCCTACTACGAGCCTTGGGGCTACACACCAGGTGGGTGCAAAGCGAGGCGGGGGCAGCGTGGTGCTGGGGAGTGGCCAGGTCCGGCATGACCCTGGGGTGAAGGAGTGGCCGACTCTGAGCCCCAGCTCCCCTCGCTTGGGGAGCAGGACAGCAGTAGCCGCCTGTTCTGCTACAGCGTGCATTTCTCTAACCATTGCCCGTGCGGCACAGACCCCCAGGGCTGCACTCGGCCTCAGGTGGTCATCACCGTCCCCGCCAAGCCCCCGCAGCCCCCTGGTGTTTGTCCCCAAGTAACAGCAGCCGAGAGCACACTTCACACACACCAGAGAGTGACGAGGTCTTCCCGGGCTTTCCCCGTGCCCCTCAAGCCCACCTCCCCATTTTGGGGGTCTTTGGCCACGCACTCTCGGCGGGAGCTGCTGCTTGGCAAATTGCCTCCATTTGGGGGGTGTTTCCCTGCAACCCTCAAACTTGGCGCTTCTGCACACCCTTTTCAATCAAGCCGCTTTCCAGTGTTTTAGACGTTAAATAAGACCATGTTCCCTGTAGTGTGCTTTAGTAGTTTAACAAGCCTTTTATTTTTTATTTTTTTAAATACTGGGCTTGTTAAAACATTTTTATTTGTTTATTTGAAAATCAGAATTACTGAGAGAGACAGACAGACATCGAGAGAGAGAGGTCTTCCATCTGCTGGTTCACTCCCCAAATGGCTGCAATGGCTGGGGCTGGGCCAGGCCTAAAGCCAGGAGCCTGGAGCTTCTTCCTGGTCTCTTATGTGGGTATGGGGTCCCCAGCACTTGGGCCATCTTCCATTACTTTCCTAGGTGCATTAACAGGGAGCTGTGTCCAAAGTGGAGGAACCAGGACTTGAACCGGCGCCCACATGGGATGCCGGCACTGCAGGCGGCGGCCTCACCCTCTGTGCCCCGGCGCCGGCCCCTCCAGTGTCTACTTAAAAAGATAAAAATGAACTCCTGGAGCCATTTCCCAGGGTTGTTTAAGGTGTTGAACACAGCTAATAGACATTCTGTACACAGGGATACCAATAAGGAGAACTTATGTTTAATCTCGCAGCAAAACAGACTCATCCCGTGATAACCGACACAGGGCCATCGGCCGGAGTGCTGAGTAAACCAGCAGCCCTGTCTCCGTTATCGTGGGTCCCTGAGCAAGACAGTTCCCTTTTCTGATCCTCTTAGAGGTAGGGAGAATGGGGGCCGGTGTCGCGGTGCAGCGGGCTAAGCCTCCGCCTGCGACGCTGGCTTCCCGTCGGTGCTCAGTTGGCATCGTATTTGAGACCAGGGTGGAGCTCTGGGCTCCTGGCTTCCGCCTGGCCCAGCCCAGCCGTTAGGGAGCGAACCAGCGGGTGGAGGATCTTTCTTTCTCTCTGTATCCCTGCTGTTCAAATCAATGTCTTTTTAAGAATGTTTGTGGAATAGGGGAAATGCTACTCGGCGCCTGCACTTGCTGACGGCCCCAGTAGGGGGCGCGGTTGAGCCTTGTTGCGAAGGGCCCCGGGGCTAAGCCGGCCTTTCTCGCTGTCGCGCAGCCGAGTGCACGGTGATGGGCATCCCCAGCATCTCCACCAACCTCTCGGGCTTCGGCTGCTTCATGGAGGAACACATCGCAGACCCCTCGGCCTACGGTCAGCGCCCGCCTCCTGCGGGGGGCAGAGAAGGGACTCCCGGAGCCTGGGCCGGGGAGGGTGGACCTGGGGAGGGGGGCGCTGGCCTTCCTGTCGGGGGAGGGGTCTCGCAGCCCCCCAGCTCCAGGGGGAGCCAGGCCTCCAGCGCGTCCCCTCGCTGAAGCCCCGGCTGGCCCCCGCAGGCATCTACATCCTGGACCGGCGCTTCCGCAGCCTGGACGACTCCTGCTCGCAGCTCACCTCCTTCCTCTACAGCTTCTGCCAGCAGAGCCGCAGGCAGCGCATCATCCAGCGGAACCGCACCGAGCGCCTCTCCGACCTCCTGGACTGGAAGTACCTGGGCCGGGTAGGGCCCCTGGCTGTGCGCTGGCCCAGGCTCTCCGGCCCGCCCCCGCGGGGACCCATCAGTCAACCCCTCCTGGAAGGGCATTGGGCAAGAGTTTTCCCTTGAGGAGGGGTGTGGCCCAGAGTCCACCCATTCAGAGCTTTGCTCATCTACATAAGGGGTGGGGCCAGAGAGATGGATGGTTTGCATAGAGGTCTATTGATAGGTACGGTGTGGTTTCTTTCTTTTTGAAGATTTATTGGAAAGGCAGAATTACAGAGAGGGAGAGGGAGAGGGAGAGAGAGGGAGAAAGAGATCTTTCATCCACTGGTTCACTCCCCAAATAGCCCCAGTGGCCAGGACCAGTCTGGTCAAAGCCAGGAGCCAGGAGCTTCATCCGGGTCTCCCCCGTGGGTGCAGGGGCCCAAGCACTTGGCCGTCTTCCACTGCCTTCCCAGGTTCATTAGCAGGGAGCTGGGATGGAAGTGGCACAGGCAGGATTCCAGCTGAGCCTGCGCCCACATGGGCTGGGGCTTCCCCCGCGAGTGCAGTGCTGGTCCCTGGGGTGGGTTTTTCGCTGGCACTAAGGAGCGTGCCCAGGGCCTGCCGTCTGCCGTCTGCCGGGGGCGGATCTGGCTCCTGGACTGACGCCTTCTCCTCCTCTCCCCCCTAAGTACTACATGTCTGCTCGCCACATGGCCCTGGCCAAGGCCTTTCCGGATCACTTCACCTACGAGCCACACGAGGCGGATGCGGTGAGTGGGTCCGGGCCCCCTGTTGGGCCGGGGCGGGCTGGCCGGGCTGGGCTGGGGGCTCTGGGGCCTCCGCTCACGCTGTTGCGCTTTGTGCACCTCCCCCGGCCGCAGACCCAGGGCTACCGCTACCCGCGGCCCGCCTCTGTGCCACCGTCGCCCTCGCTGTCGCGGCACTCGAGCCCACACCAGAGCGAGGACGAGGAGGAGCCCCGGGACGGGCTCCCCGAGGAAGACGGAGAGCGTTACGACGAGGATGAGGAGGCCGCCAAGGACCGGCGCAACATCCGCGCCCCGGAGTGGCCGCGCCGGGCCTCCTGCACCTCGTCCAGCGGCGGGAGCAAGCGCAGCAACTCGGTGGACACCAGCTCGCTCAGCACCCCCAGCGAGCCCCTGAGCCCCGCCAGCTCCCTGGGCGAGGAGCGCAACTGAGTCCCCCGCCCCCACCTCGCTCCCGCCCGGCCCGACACCCAGAGGCGCTGCGGGAGCCACACTCCGCGTGATCCGCACCCAGCCCCAGCCCGCACACTCCAGCCCCCGTCCCCAGCTCTGCTCTCGGGGCCCCCACACCCCACACTCCACAACGCCGTGCCTTTCTTGGGTTTCAGAACACATAATCTGTACCCCAGAGCTCTGCAGGCCGGGGCCAGTCCCTGAGGCCGGCAGCTGCCGCTACCACTCCTGGGTGATGCCAGTGGCCATTGCCTTCCGGGCTGAGGTCCCCCGGGTGCTCCCGGCTCGTCCGTCCTGCAGCAGACAGGGTGGCACTGCCAGCGCTGGGAGCCACACGGCGTCCCTGCTGACGGGACAAGTCACCTTCAGGGACCCGAGACAGCTGAGTGCGGACGGCCGTCCGTCTGAACACAGGCTCCGGGACGGCTCCTCTCGCGTTCTTCCTGGGGTGCTCAGTTCTGCTGGAGCACCCCCCCAGATACACTCCTGTGGTCCCAACTCTGGCCAAGCCAGGGGTGGCCGAACCCCTTGGCTCCTCATTCCTTTTGGCGAGCCATACAGCCTGTGTGGACACTTCTGTGCCGGCCTGGCCTTTCCCAGACTAGACCCCAGCCTCCTTCCTAGCTGGAGACAGACTCCTGGTGCCTTCCAGGGAATCGCCGTGCTGGGGCCAGAGCTGACGGTCTCCCCGCCTCCGTCCCCACCGCCTCCCGTCTCAGCCGCCTTGAAACCACTGGGCTCCGGGGCTGGCTGTTGAACCTGGAGCCTCACCACTGTGCGCGTCCAGGCCCCTTTCTCCTGATCAGAACTGAGCCCACTGGGTTCTAGAACATTCACGTTTACCTCGAGGCCCTCCCGCCCCCAAGCTGTGCCCGCCCCGGCTTCGGAGCAAGGGAGGGCCCTCACGTGTGCTGTGCCGTGTCTGCTGCTCTATTTGGTTTGCAGGGGGCAGGAGTGGGATTGGCGTGCATCCAGAGATGAGAAAATACATCTATTTAAGAATCCCAGGTGTGGTCCGATTCAGGCTGGGGCGTCCACCCGCACGGCCTTAGGCCTTGTCCTGCTCCCTCATCTCACCCTGCCTCCCCGGGGACTTCACCGAAGGCCCTTCTGCCTAACCGGTGCTTGATTTGCAAACTTTGGCAGGAGCGGCTGTGACTGGGAGCGAGCGCTGGCGGGCAGCCGTTCCCCCTACCACGACCCAGCCCGGCTGCCCTGCCGCAGGTGGGGGCGCCGTCTCCCGGGTTGGCTGTCCCCTGCGTGGCTCTGTTTCTCCCTTTGATTTCTCATCTTCACTAGGCCGGGTGTGCAGCTCAGAGGCAGCTGCTACTCGGGGACTCAGAGAGCTGGCTGTGTTGGGATGTGTCGTCATCCTTCCCCTTGGCCCGCGTGCGTGTGCGCATGTGTGAGACACACAGAAGCCCCCTTCTCCCTGGGAGCCCTGCCGGGAGGGGCGTGGCGCTGAGCAGGCCTCCAGCTCCCGGTTCACTTCCTCTGCTCCCGCAAAGGGAACAGGGGTCAGAGCTGACCCAGCAGACGCTTCTAGAAACCCGCGTAAGCTGCTTCAGTTCCCCTTTGGAGACTCTGGGCCCGGGTCGCACGTCTGGTTCCTGTGATGAACCCCAACAGCGGAACTGCACACCCCGCGAGCGTCACGCGCCCCTGCTCCTCCTGACCTGTCTCTTCCCGGTACGTGCCCTGCACCGGAGTTACCCCGGCGCGGGCGCAAGGAGCAGCAGCCTTGGCCGGCCGCTCTGGGCTGCCCGTGGTGAAGGGTCACTCATTGTTTACCTGCCTTTCAGAGCTTGGCCCGCTGCCTGACCCCATCACCGCCCAGGCTGCTGAGGCCGAACAGGGCCTTGCTGCCAGCCCTCCCTGAACCTGGCCCGACCCGCTGGGCAGGGCAGTTAACGGCCAGCCGGCCTGGCGGACCTCTCCCCTGCCAGCCCACTCCGTGGAGCCCTGAAGGTCCGTTCCGCCGCCTCCACCGTAATGCACACCACAACCCCATGCTGCAGCAAGAAACTTTATTTCCGTTTGGTCCCAGGTTTGGGAGAGGGTTCAGGGCTGTGAACAAGCTGCCTGGCGGCTGGCAGGAGAGCGCGGGCAGACGCGCGGCGCCGCTGGCTCCGGGCGCCCCTAGTCGTGCTTGAGCGTGAGCCTCTCGAAGAGATACTCGCCCAGCGAGGCCTGGGGGCCGCTCAGGCGGCGGATGTTGGTCAGGTGGTCGCCCATCTTCTTCAGGAGCTTCACCTCCTCGTCCAGGAAGTGGTTCTCCAGGAAGTCACAGAGCTGACGGAGAGAAGGGGAGATCAGACGGCGCACGGAGGAGGAAGGCTCACAAGGGAAATCAGCCCAATCAAAGGCGCGGTGGCGGGGGCACTTACGTGAGGGTCCGTGTGGGCGGATCCCAAGGCATGAAGGTCCAGGAGCGCCTGGTTCAGGTTCTTCTCCAGGGCCAAGGCGGCTTCCATGGCGTTGAGGGTCTTGCCCCACTCATCCTGGGACGGCTTCTGCACAAAGGACGAGGGGCTCAGCACTGGGCCCAAACTCCACTTTCCCAGCAGCCGTCGGGGGCCGGGGACGCTCAAAAGAGGTGGGCGGGCTTGTACTTACTGCCCCCACCCTCCTAACAAGAGTCGCCTCAGGAGACCACACAGCGGCCCGGACCGCGGGGCCCTCAGGGTTCACCTCCTTTTCCAACCTTAACGACTCGCTCACGACTGAACTCAATCTCCCAGAAGGCCGCGCGACACCCAGCCGGCGCTCGGGCTCCGGTCTCGGCGCGCGCAGCCCGCCGGGAGATGTAGTCCGCGGGCCGCACACCACGTACCTGCACGTCCTGGAAGAGGGCGCGGCCTCCGCGCTGGTTTTGCATCTTCAGGAGCCGCTCGGCGGCCTCGCGCTTCTCCTCCGCCAACTCGCGGAAGAAGTGGCTCACGCCCTCCAGAGCCACATCGTCGCGGTCGAAATAGAAGCCCTGCGGGAAGACGCGAAAGGAAAACCGTTGGCGGGAGGCGTGCGGGCTCCGCCCCCGGCGCCGCCGCGGGACAAAGCGGGCCCGCGCACGCGCAGTTGTGTGCAACTCGGGTCGGGGGCGTCCCGCGGACCCTCACCAGAGAGAGGTAGGTGTAGGAGGCCCGCAGATGCAGATTGACCAGGTGGTTGACGGCAGCCTCCACCTCGGGGGAGTAATTCTGACGGATCTGGGAGGTCATGGTTGGCGGCGGTGAGATGACCACAGAACCGCGGTGGGCTGGTCCCAGGAGCAGGAGGTGGCCGAGAGGTGGTCCCGGAGCTTCTGACTGGAGAGGAGGTCGGAGGGCGGTCGAAGCCTGTGAGAGAGTCCCCGGGCCTGTTCCGTTCAAACACTGTTGAAGCAAGACACAGGTCCGCGGGTCTCCCGACGCGTAGCTTCGGGCGGCTGCTTGGGCGGCGGCTTTTATACTCTGCTGGCCCTCGGGGGCGGGGCTCGGAGGGCGAGGGCTCGGCCAATTGGCGTTTGGGGGAGGCAGGGCCTCCGGGCGGCTTCTGACCAATCAGGCGCAGAAAGGGGGTCTCCGTCCCCACCCTGAGGTGGGGAAGTCACGCGCCTGTTGCGCGAGCCTGTTGTGAAATGGAGAATGGGGGTGGGGGTTCTGTGGCTGGTTCGGGGAAGTCGAGGGCTTCTGAGGGTCTCTCCGGGAGGTGAGAGGTTGGTGGGTGCCCGGGGAGCCCCTGGGGAGTGATGACCCTGTGGTCCTGGGGCTACCTCAGGAAAGCAGGGGTCTGTGGCCGTTTCTGAGAGCATGGAACTTTCTGGAACCCGGGGGGGGGGGTCGTGCCTCAGAGCGCGGAGAGGACCTGCAGGCTGCCAGGGGTTTGTGCTGTGAGCTGAGGGGTCTCCCCGAGCAGGAGGGCTGTGGAGGGCTGTGGAGGTGGCTGTAAGCGAGCCCTGCGGATCTCTGGGAGGAGGGGGCTCCTGCCCTGAGGCCTGGGGGTTAGGAGGAGGTGGGGGCACCATGGGCATCCACATTTAAGTCCTCCCCGGGAGGCCTTTAGGCGCTCCAGGTGGTCATTGATGCTGGGGCGTGTGGAGCCTGGGGTCGAAGTGGCGGGGAGGGGTCCTGGAAGTCTATTGGGGCGCGGGGGGAAGGGACGATTGTAAGAGGGGCCCGGCCCCTTAAGGCGCACAGAAGCCTGGGCTCCTCGGATGCCTTGGAGTCCGTCGGCGCCCAGCGTTCCTGGGAAGCGAGATGGGGAGAGTGAAACCCCCAGGGTGCTGGGGTCTCCCTGGGGTTGCGTTTCCTGGGGGGGCTGTTATGGCGGTAACCCAGAGACTTGGGGTCTCCCGTGGCCCCGGAGCAGTCTCTCTACAGAGGCCCCGTGTCTGGCCTGCCACCTGCTGCTTCTGCGTGTCCAGGAGACGCCTTGGGCGGCCGAGGGACAGAGGTCGGGGACACAGGGGCGGGGTGCCTGTCTCCCCGGAACGTGCATTTTTTTTAAACGCACCAGATGCATGTGGGTCTGGGAGTCAGGGGCTCAAACCAGCGCCCTGACCTCGGGGGAGGAGGAGCCAAGGCAGGACCTGGACCCCACTTAAGTGGCCCCTGGAGGCAGGCCTGGGGAGCCGAGGCCCCAGGCGCGGGGTGCAGGGTCAGGACCTGGGCGCTACAGCTCCTGGCCAAGGCGACCCCCAGGTGCTGGGCCCAAGCAGTATCTGGGGCCCTCGGCCTAGGCGGGTGACCAGGCCGGGATGTGCTGAGTCATGCTGACTCCGCGGGGGGAGGGGAAGTGGCCAGCGTCGGTCTTGGAGCTGCTGACTGCTTAAGACCCTTGGGACCAGACCCAAGGCCGCGCGCTCCCCCAGGGCGGCACCCTCTCTGAAACCCGTGTGTGCGTTCTCGCGTGTCTTTGGTTCCCAGTGTTTTCCCTGGGACCCTGCGTGTGACCGCGGTCTCGCTGGGCGGGGTGGCCGCCCAGGCTCCCCGCAGCCCCCTCCACACTTGCTGTCTGCCCAGTTTGCCTGTGGAGTTACTGATTCACCACATTTTCCACTTTAGCCTGAAGACCTTTAGCCTCAGGTAGGCCTGCTGGCGAAGAGAGGACTTTGTTGTTTTATTATTTTATTTGAACGGTAGACAGACCTCTGTCTGCAGGTTCACTCTCCACATGCCTGCAGTAACCAGGGCAGGGCTGGGCAGGGCAGGGAGGGGAGCCAGGAGCTCACCCCACTTCTCCCGTGTAGGTGGCAGGAGCCCGGCTGTCACCTGCTGCCTCCCGGGGTGCACACAGCACGAAGCTGGAATCGGAACTGGAACCCAGGAGCCAGGAGCTCAGAGCCGGCGTGTGGGGCGCCCTGAGAGGTATCTTAGCCACGCGCCAGGCAACGTTCAAGGGGCCCACAAGTGGAAGAGGCTGAGCCAGGACATGGGGAGGCAGAACCAGACAGAGAGGGACAGCGGCGACCCTGGGACTCTCCCAGGTCTCACTCTGCCCCCTTCTGCCCGGACTCCCTGGTGTGCGTCTCAGGTGCGCCGCACGTCCCGAGCCCAGCGCCTGTCCTGCAGGGCCCCTGGGCCAGCCCCTTGCAGGGTCCTTTGCTGTCCGTCTCAGCCCTGGCCCGGGCCGAGGCCCTTCCCTTGGAGCCCTGTGGCTTTGGTAACTTCGCACACGGCCCCAGGGCACTGCCTTGTGCCCCGAATCTCCCTGTTCCCCAGCGCACCCCAGGAAGCTGGGAACTTGGGGTGTCCCTGTGCTGGGCAGCCCCCTGGAGGGGCGGGGTTGGGACGGACCCAGCCCCAACCCAGACAGCACAGGGCACCTCCAGAAAACCATGTCCAGAGCCTCAGGCCCGGGAACGACCCCAGAGGCGAGCAGGCTGCCCGCCGGCCTGGCGTGGGGAAGTGGCTGGGCCACAGAGGCCACAGGCCAGTGACTCAGACTGTGCAGTGCGGCCCAAAGGAGGTTTATTGCCCCCGCCCAGGCCTCCCTCCCCTCCCCACCCCCAATAATTACAAAAGTAAGAAAAACGCCTGTGTCCCCGGATCCCCAGCCTTCCAGAAAAATGTCATAATTTATGCGGAAATGGCACAGTCCAAAGGCAGCTGGCGGCCTCAGCCCATCTTCTTCCAGATGGTGAGTGAGGCGGTGAGCACTCCGGCCCCCAAGATGGTCAGCGTTTGCCACGTGGGGGTCCCGAAGTAGGAGAGGAGGCCGTCCTGGGGACAGGGACATCAGCCGCGTCAGCACTTGGCCAGACGTGCGCAGGGAAGTCACAGGGCACGGTGGGTGGGGTGGGGGTGGGGCCTAACGGGTTGGGGCCAAGGCCCTGAGGAAGCGGAGGCCCCAGGGAGGGCAGGAGCCAGTGGGGAGCGGTAAATCAGGGCTGATCGGACGCTAGGGGAACCCGTTCTAGACCATATGTGACCATCTGGAAGTGCGAAGGGGGCACCCCTGTGCTGGGGGCCTGAGAGCCCGGGGGTCTGAGGCGGGGCGGGGCAGAGGGGTCTCACCCAACCACCCTGGTCTTGGATCCAGCCCAGCAGCCGCTCTCGGAGGAAGTCCAGCGTCCAGCCCATAATAGTCCTGATGAGCTCAGGCACCTTGGTGCACAGGGCCTGCAGGGAGCGGGGTGGGCGTCAGGGATTGAGCTGTCCCCACTGCTTGGAGACCGCGCTCCCACACCTCCTCGCTCAGCCCCCTGCCTCCCCTCGCACGGCCAGTCGGCGTCATAGCCCGGAGCCCCAGCCAGCTGCCCCCAAGCCCGGGGCTCCCTCCCAGGCGCAGTTTGGCCCTGGTGGACTTGGGTCATCCGTCCCACTTCTCTTCGTGCCCACCAAACCCTCCTCGGTGCCTTGTGCGCACCGACCCTGCTGTTGCGGGCCACCCCACTGGCCCGGGAGCTCGGTTCAGATGTCACCTCCGCAGAGGGCTTTCCTAGGCCAGGGAGACCAGCACTGCCCATGCCCCCGCCCCACCCGGGCTGCTCCCCACTGTCCTTGGCTCCATGGCGGCCTGGCAGTCACCCCCCAGCCCCAGCAGCCGAGTCCCCACCTCTGCTGCCGCCTGGGGCGAGGCCTGGCACCGCCGCACCGTTCTCGGCTTCTGCCCTGCGCCCCACAGCCCCCCGCTGCGCCCACAATCACCAGCATGATTTCTCGGTCCGTCCCCACCAATAGCTCTTTAAATTATCTCTGGTTTTCATAGAGAAGCCGAAGGGATTTCACAGTGAACAGACTTCTTAGGGTCAGCCGGGGCAGGTGTTTGGTTACGACACTGCTGGAGGGACTTGCGGTTGGGGTGCAGTGGGTCAGGTCGCAGGCCTCCCGCACGCGCACTGGGCCACGGCCGTGATGGAGCGCCAGCCCCGGCCGTGGCGGCGGCCCTCTGGGGAGTGAGCCAGCAGGTGGAACCTGTCTCTCCCTGTCTCTGTAACTGTGCCTTTCAAATAAATCCGTCTGTAAGACACTGAGGCTGCTGGCGTTGTCAGACTCCTGGGCTCCAGTCTGGCTCTGCTCCCGATCCCAGCTGCCTGCTAATATGCGCCGCGGGAAGCAGCAGCGGGCGGCTAGAGCACTCGGGCCCCTGCCACCCACTTGGGAGGCGCAGCCGAGAGCGCGTCTGGGACTCCCAGACTGGCTGTGGCGGACACTGGGCATGGACCAGCAGACGGGTGACCTCTGTCTCTGTGTCTTTCAATAAATTAATAATAAAGTTTCCCAGTTAAATGTATATGGTCAGGTCACCTCACCGCCTTATTGAATCAGCCTGTCACTCCTGTCCCCCCTCCTGCGGGTCCCCGAGCACCCTGGCCATCCACATGCTGGCCCTGCCCCATGGGTTCCAGTGACACGGGCTGCCTCGCCACCCCCTGCTGCGCCCTCCGTGCCTTCCCCCGATCGTTCTAGGTCGCAGCATCGTGCTTGTCACTCCAGCTCCAGCACTGTCCCCTCAGCCCAGCGCCTGCACGGGGCGGGGGCCGTGGCTGCCGCGTCGGGGCTGTGTCCTGGGTGCCGAGCCCAGGCCCGGCCGCACACAGCCGACCCGGGACGCGTTTGTTGAAAGAACCAACGAAGCAGCTGCCAGCCAGGCCACGGCCGTCTCACTCCCTCTGCGGGCTCCGAGCGCCCCGTCCGGCCGCCTGGGGGCCGCGCCCTGGGCGCACTGGCCGGCAGCTGCCCACCTTGAGTACCAGCTTGGTGGCAAAGTAAAACAGGGCGACAACGCGGCCCCAGTTGAAGTTGCCGTCGGCAAACATGTCGGCTGCCACTCGGAAAAAGACCTCGCGGGGGGAGTCCGTGTCCACGGCAGCGATCATCCTGCGGGAGGGGGGAGCAGGGTGTCGGGGACAGCAGGCGGAGCATGGCGGCCCCCACCCACCCACTGCGCGCACAAGCAAACCGAGGCCCAAGCCAGAGGCCAACACGGGGCAAAAGGCCCACGACGGACACGTGGGAGGGTGGGGGAAATGCCCCTCCCCGGGTGGGGTAGGGCTGCCAGTCTGGCCGCGCTGACTCCCGGCTCCCGGGCGAGGAAAAGGACGTGGGGCTGGGGTCCCCGGGTTCTGGGCCACATTTCTGGGTCCACACCTCTGTAGCTCCATGTTACTGTCCAGTTCGTCGCCAATGCGCTTGAGACACTCGCTCAGCTTCTTGGTGGACTCGTCCTGGGGCCCCTGCGCCACAGCCAGCTCGGGCGTCTGCCCCCCCATCCGGCTGGCCCGGTCCTGGATGAAACTGGGGTGGGGACGGAGTCGGGGCGCGGAATCAGGGCAGGGTGTCCCTCCTCGAACCTGCGCCACGGTAATCAGACTCAAACTCACCCCTGAAGCAAAAGGGCCCCTGTCTTCATGATCTGCTCAGAGCTGGTGGGCCCTAGAGGAGAGAGGAGGGAAGAGGCGCCTGGACTCCTGGGAGGCCCGTGGTCCCCGAGGGAGGGCCGTGCCGCGAACTCCGGGGTCCCTGGTGCACAAGGCGGCTGCGAGTCCATGCAGTGAGGCTCTGCAGGAGCCAGGGGCTGGCAGCGGGGCCCGCATCCTACATTCTTCCGGGAGGGGAGCTCAGGGCGCGTCTCCTGCACCCAGACCCCTAGTCTGAGGGGGCCGAGGCAGGACCGCCCCTCCCACCGGGGTCAGAGGCAGGAAGTGGTGCCCGCGACAAGCCCGGGCCTGCCCGGGAGTTGGGGTTCCGGGATCCCCAAGTTATCAGGGGTCCGAGAACGCCAGGCAGGAAGGGATCGGGGCGTGGAGGCCGGAGAGCCGGGAACCTCCAAGGAGGGAGGGGACTGGAGGCTGGCAGCGCCCGATCCGGGAGTTCCTGGCCCGGAGTGCTTGGAGATCGCACGGCCCCGGGCCGGCAGGAGGGATCCGGGGGCTGGCCGGCCACGGGACTCGCCCTCCTCCCTCCCGTCTGCCTCCCGCCTCACCCCCGCCTCTGGACTGCTCCCCGGACCCGTCCATCACCGCCGCTCCCGCCGCCGCCTCTCGCCGGGTCCGCCCGGGCGGCCGCAGCGCGCCCCTAGTCACGTGAGCGACCCGCTGAACGTGCGCCCCTCACGTGGGCGCCCCGCAAAATGGCCGCCGCGGGCGCTGCCCCGCAGGGCCCGGGGATCACGTGACCGCGCCTCCCTCGCTGCCCTGGGGGCGTGGTCTGTCACGGGGCCGGCCAATCAGCAGCCCCCCTGGGGCCGGCCGTGCCAGTCCACCGGGCAGCTCCGCCAAAACCAGGCGTCCATTCATTCATTCGTGCACGCGCGCTTTTCAGAACATTCGGGCCAGGCTTGCGCTCTCTGACGCTCAGACCTGCAAGCGCAAAGACTCAGAGGCCGGAAGCCGCGTGCGCCCGAGGCCGGGCTTTGAGGTGCCTGAAACCTGTGCGTGTGTGCGTGTGTGTGTGTGTGTGTGTGTGTAACAGCAGGGGCAGGAAATCCATCAAGATGGCAGAAATTACACCGCGGCGATAGGTCAGCGGGGATGGGGAGGGGTGGGGGGAGACGCAGGAGGTTCCGGGGGCGCCCCGGTGTGCTGCGTCCAGTGTGGGTTCACACGCAGCTAAGTCGGTGCGTTGTACGCCCAGGACTTCCGCACGTCTCGGTATGCAAATTCTCACATTAAAAAAAAACAAAAACAAAAACAAAAACAGATGGTAGGTAAAGGCAACTCTGATCTGAAAAGTGGGCTGCAGTCCCTTGAGAACTGATCCCGTGTCGCTCACAAACCCCCAGCCCTCATTCTGCCTCAGCCTCCCGCGCAAGGGGCCGTCCTCCTCCCGACCCCAGGGCGGCCCCGCAGCCCACCCCCACCCCGATCCACAAGGCGTCCGAGACCTGCGGGATGGTCTGCGACTGCGGCGTTATCGCAGTGGGGACCTGATGGGCCTGGAGCAGAGGCTGCTGCTACTGTGTATCCAGCCCCGGGACCTCCCAGGCAAGGGTGGGATGTTTCATTTCTACTGATAGGATTTCCAACAGTCTGTGGTTTTTAGAGAACAAAGTTGCTCAGAGAGCGAGAAAGCGGGTCCTTGAGGGGGAGTGGCGCTGCTGACTTCTTTGTGTCAGTCCAGCCTCCGCCCCCCAAGCTGCGGCTCCGCTAACCAAGGCATCCACAGAGTGGGAGAAGGTTTTTAGCCAATCCCGAGGTCAAGCGTGAAACCACGTCCAGGATGGCCCGGGATCGTGATTAGAACAGGTGCAGCCCCCGCCACACTGATGGGGCTGGCCAAGAGGACAGGGTGGAAATGACAGAGTGTGACATCCAGGGCTAGGTTGTGAAAGTCACAGCTGCAGATTGGAGGGTGTGTGTGTGTGTGTGTGTTGTGGCACGGGGTGTTAAGCTCCAGCCTGGGGTGCCTGTACCTCGTATCGCAGAGCTGGTTCCTGCTGGTGCCCACCCAGGGAGGCAGCAGGTGTTGGCCTAAGTGCTCAAGGCCCTGCCACTGCTGTGGGAGACGCAGAGTAAGTTCCAGGCTGTTTGCTTCAGACTGGCCCGGGGCGTGGTGGCTGTGCTACTGAGCCAGTAGATGTCTCCGTATCTCTTTCCCTCTCTGTCTCTCTCACTCTGCCTTCCAAACAAATCTAAAAAGTCACAGCCTCTTCCACCTTGGTCCCTTGGGACCGCCCGTGGAGGGGGGGGGGGCAGCTGCTGTGTTTCCAGGAGACACAAGCAGCCATCGTCCAGGGAAACAGGTGCGGTGAGGACCCCAAGGCCCCGCCAGGTGAGCTGCTGGGGAAGCAGACCCCTCAGCCCCAGTCAAGCTGCGGGTGACCGGGTGACACCACAGCCAGGATCTGAGCTGGAGTCAGGCGGTGAAGCCACTTGTGGGTTTGCGTGTGCGTGGGGGGGCGAGTTTTGGCGCGGCAGGGTAAGCTGCCCCCTGCAACACGGGCATCCCACAGCACAGCGCTGGCTCCAAGCCCAGCTGCTCTGCCTCCGATCCAGCTTCCTGCTCGTGTGCCAGGGAAGGCAGCGGGTGACGGCTCCAGTGCTTCTCCCTGCCCCCAACGTGGGAGACCTGGCTGCAGAGCGCCCCCTGGCGAGCTTCTTTGGCAGTTCCTCTTCCTGGAATCCCTGGCCTGAGCCCCACAACACTGTCCCTGTCTGTAAGATTTTTTCTAAAAAATCTTTTCAAAAAAAAAAAAAAAAAAAAAAAAAAAAAAAAAAAAAAAAAAGAAAGAAAGAAAGAAAGAAAGAAAGAAAAAGTCCTCATCGGGTTAAGCTGCCACCTGTGCACCTGTGGCACCAGCATCCCACGTCAGAGCGTTGCATCAAGTCCCACCTGCTCTGCCTCTGACCCCGCTCCCTGCCAAGGCAGCTGGGCAAGCAGCAGAAAATGGCCCAGTTGCTTGGTCCTCCACCACCCACGTGGGAGACTTCGCCCTGGCCTGGCCCAGCGTCAGCTGCTGTGGCCATTTGGGGAGTGTGAACCAGCAGATGGAAGACCTCTTTCTGTGTATCTCCTTGTCACTCTTGCAAAAAAATAAAGATTTAAAAATAAATAAATAAAATAAATAGGGGCTGGTGCTGTGGTATAGTGGGTAAAGCTGCTGCCTGCAGTGCTGGCATCCCATATGGGCACCAGTTAGAATCCCAGCTACTCCACTTCCTATCCACCTCTCTGCTGTGTCCTGGGAAAGCAGTAGAAGAGGGCCCAGGTCCTTGGGCCCCTGCACCTGCATGGGAGACCTGGAAGAAGCTCCTGGCTCCTGGCTTTGGATCAGCAGAGCTCTGACCATTGCAGCCATTTGGGGAGTGAACCAGTGGATGGAAAACCTCTCTCTCTCTCTGCCTCTTTGTAACTCTGCCTTTAAAATAAAAAATAAATAAAAACCTGAAAGATACTGTGCTGGGCAGTTCCTAGGGTCTGCTGTGTGTCGCCCTACAACTCACGTATGGAAACCTGAACACCCGAGGTGGGAGGCGATTGGATCCCAAGGCTCCGTCTTCAGATTGGCAGCTGAGTCTTCCAGAAGAGGCTGGAGGGGGCCCCCTGGCTCCTCCCTCGAGTGAGGACACAGAAGCCGAGGGGGAGCCCTCAGCGGGCACCACACTGCTGGCACGCTGACCGTGGGCTGCCCAGGCCCCGGAGCCACGGCAGCGGGTTTGTGCCATTTAAGAGCCATGAAGCCTGGCCGGCGCCACGGCTCACTAGGCTAATCCTCCGCCTAGCGGCGCCGGCACACCGGGTTCTAGTCCCGGTCGGGGCGCCGGATTCTGTCCCGGTTGCCCCTCTTCCAGGCCAGCTCTCTGCTGTGGCCAGGGAGTGCAGTGGAGGATGGCCCAGGTGCTTGGGCCCTGCACCCCATGGGAGACCAGGAAAAGCACCTGGCTCCTGGCTCCTGCCATCGGATCAGCGCGGTGCGCCGGCCGCAGCGCGCCGGCCGCGGCGGCCATTGGAGGGTGAACCAACGGCAAAAGGAAGACTTTTCTCTGTCTCTCTCACTGTCCACTCTGCCTGTCAAAAATAATAAAAAAAAGCCATGAAGCCTAAGGCGCAGAAGCTGCTCCACGCACCGTGAGCTGCCCGTCCCTAGAAACCCACGCTGAGCCGAGAAGACCGTGGAAGGGGCCCCAATACCTCCTGAACGCCCTCACTTAGCAACACAGTCCCACTGGGAGCTCCTGGCTGGCTGGGAGCCTCTGCCCTTTACAGATGAGGGGATAAAGGCAGGGCCGGGAGGGAGTGCGGCTGGGACACCCCCGACACGGGGCTCCCCAGGGCGCAGGCACCGCCTGGCTCCGCGGCCCAGGTCGCTGCTTAACCAGCGCCTGGGACCTGCGGTGACGGAGGAAGCCAGGCTCTGGTCCGACGCCGGCCTCAGCCTGAAGGTTTGAGCTCCTGCGCCTTCCCTCTCCGGCCAGGCCAAGGGCGTCACACCTCTAACACTGCCCGAAGATACAACCTGACCAATGCAGCGGAAGTCCAGGACAGGCTGTGACAGCCGGGACAGTGACAGAATGAAAGTGGGGTGGCGTTTGGGAGCCAGAGAGAGATTTCCAAGGAAGACGTGGGTCGTGTGCCAAAAACCGCGTGGAACGTGGTCCTGATGGGGCCTTCCTCCCTCTCTGCCCATCATCCCACCCAGCTCACTCTCCAGGGCCCTGCACGAGGCTCGCTAGTCCGGCCGAGCCACTCCCACCAACACGTAAGACCTCCAGGAAAACTTTATTTTTTCAGGGCAGGCGTCAGTGCTTGTCCTGGGGGAAGGTCACTCCGATGGCCTTCCTCACCTCCTCCAGGATGTCAGCCAGGAGCTGACTTTCCGCCAGGGGAATCACAGGGCTTTCCTTCAGACCTGGGGAGAGACCACAGTTACTACACCCTCCTGCCTGCACGCCAGACCAGAACTACAATTCCCAGAATTCCATAGGGTGCAGTAGTACTGGGTTGTAGGTGGATGGATGCCCTGGGGGTCCTGGGAGATGTAGTTCTGACCAGCAATGGGGTGGGGGGAGTGGGAGGCAGCGTCCCCCTTTCGCTCCACATCCTTACCCTTGCGCAGGCAGTCCCGGACGTGCTGGGCCTCGTAACTCATGCCCATCCCATTTCTGTAGTTGAATTTCTTGTTCTCTTCTGGGGCCAGTGGGAACTCCTTGCGTTCCTTGTTCACCACCAGCTCCGTTGGGCACCAGCAAGGTTCCAGAAGCTGGAGGGAGATCGGAGGTGCCCTGCAGTGAGGGCGGGCCTGCATCCGCCCCAGGGAGGCTGGGAGACCCCTCCTCCTCTCCTCCCCAGTCGTAGGGGCTTAGCTCTGTGGAAGCTCCACCATCACCCTAAACCCCTAAAGCTCTCTGCGCCTGCTTCGGCCTGGAGACAAAGGCTTCTCTTGGGTCCCCTTTGCGAGGACGATGCTCAGGTCGCCAGCACCTTGAAATCTGCAAGGAGACCCTCCCTTCAGCTCTGGGGCCCCACCTCCCAGTCTGGGCCAAAATAAATAGAAATGCAGAGGTGCAGTGGTCGGCCTCGTGGCGCACTGGGTTAAGCCGCTGCCTGTGACGCCGGCATCTCATACTGGAGCAGTGGTTTGAGTCCTGGCTGCTCCACTTCCAATCCAGCTCCCTGCTTATGAACCTGGGAAAGCAGTGGAAGGTGGCCCAAGTGCTTGGGCCCCTGCACCCGCGTGGGAGACCCGGATGGAGCTCCAGGCTCATGGCTTCAGCCTGGCTTGTGCTGAGCCATTGGGACCAACAGATGGAAGATGTCTCTGTCTTCCTGTGTCTCTCTCTGCAACTCTGCAATAAATAAACCCTTAAAAGAGCCCTGGATGGAGTCCCCAACTCCTGACTTCAGCTTGGGTCAAGTGCCGGCTTCTGTAAGCATCCACGGAGCGAACCAGCAGACGGGAGCTCTCCGTCTGTGTCTCTAATAAACAACTTAAAGTTGAAAAACCAAAATAAGCCCAAGAAAAAGCCCGAATCCCCCCATGAGCCGGTGCTAAGAACATCAGGATTTTATTCTGCACAGGGGTCCCAGGAAGCCAAGGGACCCCGACCTTGGTAACACCCAGATTCCACCTTGGAAACAAGGCCAAAGCCAGGAGCCAGGAACTGCATCCGGGTCTCCCAGGTGGGTGGCAGGGGCCCAAGTCCTTGGGCCATCATTTGCTGTCTGTCCAGGCAGACCGGAAGCAGAGCAGCCAGGTGCTGGCATTGCCTGTGGCTGCTTAGCGCACCCTGGCCTGAGGCCACTGATGGAGCGAGAGAAGCAGCCTCCCCAGGGGCCCAGAGGCCCCGCCCCCGCCGGCTCAGCTCCGGCTGCTGCGGCCTCACCTGGGCGATTCCCTTGGTGCCGCTCACGGAGCACGTGTTGGAGAGCTTGGAGGAGATACTGCAGGTGAAGCTGCCGTGGACCCCTCCCGGGTACTGCAGGAGCACAGTCACGGTGTCGTCCACGCCTGCAGGGGTGTCACAGGGCAGGGCGGGGCTGGGTCGCCGGGGCTCAGCCTGCCCAGGCCTCACACACCCTGTGTGGAGCCCCTGCCCGGCACTGGCCGTCTGCAGCAGCAGAGGAAGGAGGAGGAGCCTGGGATGCCCCGCCCCCAACCTCCCCAGAGGGCACGCCCCAGGCCAGCAGATCCAGAGCTGCAGATCACAGGGCTGGGTGCGAGAGGGGAGGAGGGAGGTGTGTGTGTGTGTGAGACAGAGGTGTGTGTGTGTGTGTGTGTGTGTGAGACGGAGGCAGGTGTGTGTGTGTGTGAGACAGAGGTGTGTGTGTGTGTATGATGGAGGCGGGTGTATGATGGAGGTGTGTGTCTGTGTGTGTGTGTGTGGTGTGACGGAGGTGGGTGTGTGAGTGTGTGTGACGGAGGTGTGTGTGTGACGGAGGCGGGTGTGTGTGTGTGTGACGGAGGTGTGTGTGACAGAGGTGGGTGTGTGTGACAGAGGTGTGTGTGTGACGGAGGTGTGTGTGTATGTGTGTGTGAGATGGAGGTGTGTGTGTGTGATGGAGGTGTGTGTGTGTATGTGTGTGATACAGAGGTGTGTGTGTGTGTGTATGTGTGTGTGATGGAGGTATGTGTGTGTGTGTGACAGAGGTGTGTGTGTATGATGGAGGCGGGTGTGTGTGTGTGATGGAGGTGTGTGTGTGTGTGTGTGTGTGTGACGGAGGCGGGTGTGTGTGTGTGTGTGTGTGTCCTGCTAACAGGACAGGGTTTTCTGGAGCAATGCAATCATTCTAACATTCATTGCAGTGCAAACCACGGAATGAATTCTGCACCTTAAAGGAATGAAGTGCATGGTATCTGACCCTATGCCTCCCAGGAAAGCCGCTACCGAAACAGGTGAGTAAGTACACACCAGAAAGAAACAAACACAAACACCCAGCACAGAGAGAGCGACCTCGGACAGCTGCCTCCCACACCTGAGTACCGGGGTTCGGGTTCGATGCTCTCATCCTGGCTCCGGCTTCCTAACCGTCCAGGGCCTGGGAGGCAGAGGTGACACCTCGGGCACTCGGGCCCCTGGCACCCGTGTGGGTAGTGAGCCACATGTGGACGAGCCCAGGGCGTCACCCGTGCCGGCTCTGGGCACCAGGACACGCCGCGGCCCGCCCGCTCGGCACCTCTGCTCCCTCCTCTGCCCGTGGGGACACCCGATCTGTGCCCTCGGGCAGTCCCCACTTCCCGTGGAAGCAGCCGGCTCCCTGCACAACAGGTTTCCAAAGCGCTGTAGTCACGCTTCCCAGGGTTGCACTGGCAAGGACGCCACAAAGACCCCCAGCAGGTGTCCCCTCTCCCACTTTCTTTTTTTTTCATTTTTATTTTATTTATTTTATTTTTTTTTATTTTTTGACAGGCAGAGTGGACAGTGAGAGAGAGAGACAGAAAGGTCTTCCTTTGCCGTTGGTTCACCCTCCAATGGCCGCCGTGGCCGGCGCGCTGCAGCCGGCGCACTGCGCTGATCCGGTGGCAGGAGCCAGGAGCTAGGTGCTTTTCGTGGTCTCCCATGGGGTGCAGGGCCCAAGCACTTGGGCCATCCTCCACTGCACTCCCTGGCCACAGCAGAGAGCTGGCCTGGAAGAGGGGCAACCGGGACAGAATCCGGCGCCCCAACCGGAACTAGAACCCGGTGTGCTGGCGCCGCAAGGCGGAGGATTAGCCTAGTGAGCCGCGGCGCCGGCCTCATTTTTATTTTTAAAGGTCTTCCTTTTCCATTGGTTCACCCCACAATGGCCACTGCGGCCGGCGCACCACGCCGATCTGAAGCCAGGAGCCAGGTGCTTCTCCTGGTCTCCCATGCGGGTGCAGGGCCCAAGCACTTGGGCCATCCTCCACTGCCCTCCTGGGTTTTACAAATTCAAATTGTTAGTTATGTAATGTATGTGAAAGGCAGAAAGACAGAAAGAGAACCCAAATGCCCACAACACGGGAGCTGGGCCAGGACGAAGCCTGGGGCCTGGAACTCCATCTGGGTCTTGCAAGTGGGCGGCAGGAACCCACCTCCTTAAGCCACCACCTGCTGCCTCCCAGGGCAGCCATGAGCAGGAAGCTAGAATTGGAAGGCAGGGCCAGGACTTGAACCCCAGCACACCAATGTGAGTTGCAGGTGGATCAAGCAGTGGGCTCAACACTCGCCACTCCCTCCTGTCTTCCATTGTCAGCTCTGCCCCCCCCCCCCCTGCTCCCCACTGCAGCCCGAGCTGATTGTACAACTTGCTGTGGCCAATGGGCCGGCAGCCAACATGATGTCAGCAGGGGCTTCGCTGGGCGCCTGCCCTCTGTTGGTTGCTGCACCTGGAATTCTGAGAGCAGGGCTCGGATGAGCCTCAGCCAGCCCGCTGGAGAAGCTGTGCAGTGCAGAGCCAAGGCCCCCCGGACAACAGCCTACACCTGCGAGACATCACTGCGGCCATCCTGAACCCCCCAGCCCTAAATGACCCGTCGACTGCGGCTGCAGGCGCGAGAGCCACAGAGGAGCCAACCCACAAATCACAAGCTCATAAGGAATCACTATTGACATCAGTACGTTTTGCGGTAGTTAAGTAGCATAGGCTCACTGAGACAACTCGAAAACATTTTAATTATTGGGGCCAGCGCTGTGGCGAAGTAGGTTAAGTCTCCACGTGCAGAGCTGGCATCCCATATGGGCGCTAGTTCAGGTCTTGGCTGCTCCACTTCCGATCCAGCTCCCTGCTAATGCCTGGGAAAGCAGTGGAAGATGACCCAAGTCCTTGGGCCCCTGCACCTGCATGGGAGGCCCGGAAGAAACTCCTGGCTCCTGGCTTCAGATTGGGCCACTCAAGCCATTGCAGCCATCTGGGGAGTGAAACAGCAGTAGGAACACCTCTCTCTCTCTCTCTCTCTCTCTTTGTCTGCAACGCTGCCCCTCAAATAAATAAAAATCTCTTTTTAAAAATCTAATTATTTCTACTTCTCCACGCTTCCCCTCTGTCTCCAGTAGGTTCTCACTAACCCCCATGGCACCTGCCACTTCAGCTGCAAAGTGACCGGGGTGCAGAGACATCGAGTCTGGGCGAAGACCTTGAAGCAAAATCCCAGCGCAGAGCCTGTGACTCCGAAGCCTTCTGACCCTGGTGGGAACTTCCTCCAGCCGCCTACCCTGACTCTCCTGGGCCAGGAGTCGCGTGCTCACTGTGCTGCGCCCAGGGAGACGGGGTCACTCCCACTCCCTGCCGCAGTACCTGTCTCATAGCGTCTTCCCACGGCGGAGATCTTCTCGGGTTTCTGCCCGCCGAAGACCATGGAGATGAACTGGACGCAGTAGATGCCGAGGTCCAGCAGGCCGCCGCCAGCCTGGGCCCAGTCTACGGACCGGAGCACCTGGGTTAAGTTCTCCCCAAATTCTGCCCGAGCCACCCGCAGGTCCCCCAGAGCTCCCTGGGCCAGCAGCGACCTCAGCGCATCAACGGCAGGAAAACAGCGAGTCCAGATGGCCTGCGGAGCAGAGAGCAGACAGGACACGGAAAATTCACGCTAAATCCACACCTGGTGTGTCTTACACCTCCCGGTACAGGGTCAGGCACACATGGGCTGGCAACAAAACTGAGGATGGGATAAACGGACCGAGCGCTGACCCTGGCAAGACACGGGAGGACCGGGAGGCACTGTCAGTCTCCACCACCCACCCTCTGGAAGTCTGAAGCCTGGGAGACCCAGCAGTGCTGCCGGGCAGACAGGAGCCAGCTGAGACGCAGGCAAGTGCATGGCAGCCATTGCTACTCCTGGCAGAAGCTACAGCAAGCTAAGCGGGAACTGGGACACTCCCTAGCACGGCAATAGCTTCCAGGTGCCACTTGGCAGCCATCTTAACTGCTGGCACTGCCCACTGAGGCTTGGCGGCCATCTTAACTGCTGGCACCGTCTTGAACTCCATGGTAGGCGTGCCTCACAGAGGCTGCCCAATGGGGACCATCTTGATGGTTCCCCTTCCTTGGGGCTCCTCCACAGCTGCCCACCCGCAACCACATGTCCCAGGGCAGACAGCGGCGCTGCAGGGGCCCCTCCGCCCTCACCTCCATGAGGAAGAGGCCTCGGGACCGGGCCTCAGCCACCATCTCGCGAACTTCCGCGGCGTTCACGCCCAGGGGCTTCTCACACAGGACGGCCTTGCCCGCCGCCAGGAACAGCAGCACCGCGGCCTTGTGCTGGGGGTGCTGGGTGCCGATGTAGGCCACCTCTGGGTGCAGGATGGACGGCGGCAGGTCAGCACCCCGCCCACATGACCAGGCCAATCAGAACACAGGTTCCCGGCCGCGGGGTCTGTTGGAACCCTGGCCAGGCTCCCTGGCCGCCTTTAGAAATTTGGGGCCAGCTGAGGCCGGCATTGTGGCTTAGTGGGGTCAAGCTGCAGCCTGCCACTGCCAGCATCCCATATGGGCGCAGGTTCAAGCCCAGGCTGCTCCACTTCTGATCCAGCTCCCTGCTGGTGCACCTGGGAAAGCAGTAGAAGATGGCCCAGGTGCTCCCTGCACCCGCATGGGAGACCTGGAAGAACTCCTAGCTCCTGGCTTCAGATCAGCCCAGCCCTGACGGTTGCGGCCATTTGGGGAATGAACCAACACATGGAAGCTCTCTCTCTCCCTCTCTCTCTCATTGTTAACTGCCTTTCAAATAAATAAAACAAATGTTAAAGAAATAAGAAGAAATTTGGGGGCTGACAATCTACGCAGCTTCAGTATCATGCTTAAGCAGAAATACAAGTACTTTTTGTCATTTTGTGCAACGAGTTAAAGATTTTCCCCCCAAACTTCCAAATACTAAGATTTGAGAATTTAGAAACTGTATCCTAAACAAATTTATAATTTTCCCTTTATTATTTAAGAAGGTATCATTGGCTTGATACAATGAGCTGCAACCCCAAAGAAAAAAAGTGAAGGGCCAGGATTGCTGAACCCGGGCAGCCGGCCCCAGGGCAAGGCGCGGTTCCCGGAGCCTCCCGGTCCAAGGTCTCCCCCCCCCCCCGCCCCGGGGGCCGCCGCCCTCGCACTCACCCACGTCGGGGTCCTTGGCCAGCTCCTCGTAGGACCCGTAGGCCTTGGGGATGCCGTGAGTCCGCGCAAACTCTTCCGCTCGGCGGAGGTCGCGGGCGGCCACCGCCACCACCTGGGGGGCGCCCGAGGAGGGGAGGTTAAGTCCCGAGGCGCGGGAGGCGGTAGCGGGGGAGGGGTTGGGAAAGACAGGTCTGCGGATAACCGGGATTCAAGACCAGGAGGCGTCACGAGGCCCGCGGCGGGAGGGACGTGGGGCGCAGCGTGGAACGCCCCCGGCCCATGTCGGAGCGGCGGGGTACGAGTCCCGGGTCCGTCCAAGCGCCCGGGTCCCTGCCACCCACGGAAGAGGCTTGGGTTGAGCTCCTGGCTCCCGGCTTCGGCCTGGCCCAGCCCGGGGCTGTTGCAAGCAAGTGGGCAGCCTGCGTCCACCTGCCTTTCAAATAAATTCTAGAAACACGAAAATCTGGGGCGGGGTGGGGGGCGTGGAGCGTCTTTGCACGCTGCGTCTCCAACAACTGCGCAAAGCGCCCCGGGGCAGTCGCCCAGGCCAAGCCCCCCGCATACCCCCGCAGGGCCTGGACCCCACCGGGGCACAGGCGGAGTGGCGCCGCCTTGGGCGTCCGGACCCCCGGCCCCGCCTCTGCCCGGGACCCCGGGGCGGGCGTGGACCTGGTGCTCGGAGCGAGGCAGCGCCTGCAGCACGGTCACGAAGTCGCCGGCGATCAGGCCGGCGGACACGACACCCCAGCGCAGCGCCATCGTCGCCAGCCGGAGAGCAGCTGTGGCGCCGGCTCCGGGCTCCCGGCGAGTCCTCGTCTCCCCGCGGTGGGCCACGCCCCCGTCGCGCCTCCACCGCTTCTCATTGGCCGCGTGTCTCAAAGCCGAGGCCGAGCTCTTCGGTTCTCGCCAGCCCATTGGGAGAGCGCGCGGAGGGGCGGGGCGGGGGCGGGGCGTCCCATGCTTGCGGCTCAGATCTTAGGGATCAAGGGTCTTGTGCTCTGGGCGCTCTCGTGACCCTACTTCCTTTCCACCCAACCCCGCTGTTTCCCCGGAGAGTCGGCTGCCTTTGAGGGGGAGAGAGGCGGAGAGTGACAAGGTCATCCAGATACTGTGTTTATACTGCGCGGTCCGTGTGTGCCAGGCCCCGGGCCACAGGTTCCTGGGCTGGACCTGTGATCCGGGCTCTATCGCTCCTCCTCCACGGGGTGGGGGGAGCTGAGGCCCAGGGAGCCCTGGTCATTATTTCAGGCCGGCAGATTGGCCGCTTTCAGAGGGATGCATTAGTCCCCCTAACCCGTCTGGGAGGGTCAGTGACCACCACCCCCCGTACATGCCGGTGCCCAGGGATGCTATCAGATACTCTATATATCGTTTTTTTATCCTATACCTACAAAGAGTTCGTGGAGCAGCTGCTGTTAGCCGGGCATGAGGACGCTGGCGTCCTACATCAGAGTGCATGGGTTCCTGGGCTCCTGGCGCCAGTGTGATGGATCCAGTTGCTGGGCTCTTGCCCCCCACGAGGGAGACGTGGACAGAGCTCCTGGCTTCTGGCCCAGCCCAGGCCATTTCAGGCACCAGGAGAGTGCACCAGGGCATGGGAGTTCTCTCTCTCTTTCTCTCTAATAAATACAGATAAAGCTGGCCTTCTGGTGTGGCGGGTTAAGCCACCGCCCGTGACACCAGCATCCTGTACGGGCACCGGTTCGAGTCCCGACTGCTCCACTCCTGATCCAGCTCCCTGCTGCCGCACCTGGGAAAGCAGCAGAAGATGGCCCAGGCACTTGAGAGACCTGGATGGCGCCCCAGGCTCCTGGCTTTGGCCCTGCCCAGCCCTGGCCATTGCGGCCCTTGGGGGAGTTGAACCAGCAGATAGAAGACCTCTCTCTCTCTCTCCCTCTGTCTCTGTAACTCTGCTTTTCAAATACATAAATAAATCTTAAAAAATAAAACTTTGGAAGAGACTGGAATTGACTTAAACATTAAAGATATAAACCTTACGTCCCAACATAACTCCACCAAGCTCCAGGCACCTTTAGAAGCAGTGTACCAACTGTGGATCCCTCCCTGGAGGGCTGAAGTGCCCGGGTTTAACCAGGGTGTCGCGTTCTGCTTACATTACTTGCGGCCCTTTCAAAAGTTTTTTTTTTTTTTTTTTTTTGGACAGGCAGAGTGGACAGAGAGAAAGGACTTCCTTTGCCTTCGGTTCACCCTCCAATGGCCGCCACCCATGCTGATCCGATGGCAGGAGCCAGGTGCTTCTCCTGGTCTCCCATGGGGTGCAGGGCCCAAGGACCTGGGCCATCCTCCACTGCACACCTGGGCCACAGCAGAGAGCTGGCCTGAAAGAGGGGCAACCGGGACAGAATCCGGCGCCCCGACCGGGACTAGAACCCGGTGTGCCGGCACCGCAAGGCGGAGGATTAGCCTAGTGAGCCGCGGCGCCGGCCTAGAGTTTTTTAAAGGTTAGGAAAGCAGAGGAGGTCAGAGGGTGCCCGAGGCCGATGCGGATGGCTTCCTGTGGGAGCTCCTGCCCTGTGTGCCCAGGGACTGGCAGGAAGACCCCGGGGATGGAGAAAGCTCGGGGAAGCTTTCCCAGACACTTTTCTCCTCCAGCTTTTTAATTTTTTTTTAGATATATTTATTTTATTCAAAAGTCAAGAATTACACAGAGAGAGAGGAGAGGCGGGGAGCGGGGGAGACAGATTTCCCATCGGCTGGTTCACCCCCAGATGCTTGCAGTAGCTGTGCTGGGGCTCAGCCAGGCTGAAGCCAGGAGCCAGGAACTCCGTCCCGGTCTCCCACGTGCGTGGCAGGGAACAGAGCGCTTGAGCCGCCACGGGCTTGCTCCCGGCGTGCCCGTTAGCAGGGAGCCAGGACTGGAGCCGGGCCCCCTGCTGTGCGACACGGGTACTGCGGTCCTCGCTGGCTGGGGCCCGAACCCGTGCTTGGCTGCGGGACCGCGGCGACCCGGGCGGCAGCTTCCCCGGCAGAGCCGCAGGGCCGGCCCCGGGTTCCTGCAGCGGGATCCGGGTCTCGCCTGTGGGCCGTTTCCCCGATGCGCCCGCGCCGGGCAGGGCTGGCCTGCACCCATCGCCAAGTGTGCTCAGCGCTTTCATTCAGGGCTTGGCCGTGGCTTCTGCTGTTGATTCCTGGTCCTCTTCAATTAGAGCGTGAGAACTGTGACTGCTTTCACGCA